CAAACCAGTACTGTACAGGGCTTGTGTGCTGGGAATGCTGGGACCATCCAATTGGTTGCAGGAGCCCTGCAGCCCCAGGGGTCTCCCACCAGCTGAGCACCCACCCAGCACAAAGGCACCTACTGCAGCCAGGAACCGGCTGTTCCTCCCGAGCACCCGTGGGACGCTCCCAGGGACAGCCCTGCTGAGCTGCACTGCCACTCCGTGCCCTTCCCACCTGGGTGCCAAGAGCTGGGCTCGCTGGCATCAGCATCTCACCTGCTCCTTCAACAGAGAGGTCTCCCAGCTCCTGGGACAGCTTGCGCAGGGCGATGCTGCTCGCGTCCCGCTGGATGTCGTGGACGGCGTTTCTGCGGCCCGCCCGGTCGCAGGAGATGAAGTCGCTGTAGGTGCTGGACTCTACCTCCATTGCATCTCTAGGTGCCTGCAGAGCGCTGCAGAGAGAACACAGCTGTGAGGTCAAGGATGCTCGGCGAGCCTCGGGTCATGGCTCCCTCCAGGTCAGGTTACTCTGCGGAGTTAAATTACAGCATGAAAAAAATAGTCCCTGGAACTCGGCTCCGGTTCCTCCAGCAGGAGTTACTGCAATCTCAGATGTCAAGCCCGTCACGTGGGGTGGCGTGTGGGGTGACCCACCATGTTGGGTGACCTGCTGTGTGTCGGGCTGTGCTGGGTGACCCAGGGTTGCACAGCAACACACTGTTGGGTCACAGCTGCCTGGTGATGCACAGTTGCCAGGTGACCCCCCATGAGGGCAGGTAGGCAGGAAGGATCCATCCCTACTGGCCCTCGTTCCACCTTCCCGTTTTAGAACGAGGCAGAGCCGTGGCCTCTCCTATTGAGTTTCTGGCCTCCTGTAGGAGCTGCAAGGCCACTTGCAGCAGATGTTTGCTACAGAAAAAGCCCTCTTTCCTCCTCAAAGGCCACACGAGCTTTGACCAGCAGCCAGATTTGGCTCACTGCACTGTGGGGGGTGGGGTGCTGATCCAACCTGAATTTGTAATGGGAAATAATCTGTCTCCAATGGACAGAAAAGCTTAGGGAGCACGGGAGCATTTTATAGTTGCAGGACTTTGGATCAGTATTGGCCTCCACTGGCTGCCGGATGTCACTGAGCAGGTGGGCAGGACTGCTTTGAGATAAGTGCTTGAAGATGTGAAAATCAGCCCCTTTGTGAGATGTTTGGACCCCCTCGTTCCAGGTTTGTGTCTGTGCCAGGTGCAGAGCGGGAGGAAAAGCTCAGATCAGCCACTTGCCACCCCTGAGCTCTGCTGCGAGCCAGCCCGTAGCCCAGCCTCATGAGTCCCTAAGCTCTTGGGTTTTCATTTTAGCTGGCAGTTTAACTTGCCAAGGTCTGTGCAGAGCCCAGGGACTTCAGCAGCTCGGGGAATGTGTCTCTTGGCTCCCAGGCACTGAGCTCCTGGGCACACGCTGCTTCTGCCCCTGAAACCTGGTGCTCTTGGGTCCTGCTCCTCCTGACTCAGTGTAGCACTTTGTTCCTCTGCATGGAAGTTAGAGATGAATCATTGTCTTATTTGTGAATCTGCTCATTCTAAAACCTGCTTTTATCCCTGGTGATGTTGCCAATACCTGAAGGAGGTCCTGGTTAGAAATGCTGGTGTCTAATGAAAAAAATATTCAACTTTTTGTCTTCACTTGCTGTTGTGCCTTGGGGTTAATGTCCCACTTAGAAGTTTGCTTATGTCCTGTACAAATCTGGTTTAATATTGACTGATATTAATATCCCCAGGGAAATCTGCTGGCAGACCATGAGCCTGGGCAGGAATCACCCTCTTCACCCCATAACCCCTCATGTTACAGCATCAGAAAGAAAATGCTGATGAAGACCCAGGGTGTAGTGACTTCAAACCTGCCCAAAACCTGCACATATGTTTCAGCAGCTGCAGGGACTCCTCTCTTGGTGCTGATACCAGCTCAGGGAGCACAGGCACCAGGTCACTGGTGGGACGTAGGGCTTGGCCCACCTAGACATCCCAGGAGAACCTGCTTCTCCAAACCCAGCAAATCCTTACAAACACCCACCTCCTCCCAGGGCTTGGCACCCATCTAGCCCCTGGCAAATGAGCCCTGGGAAAAGCTGCACCCGTTGCCCCAGGAAGAGAACCCTGTTGCTTTTCCTTGTCTTCCCTCCTTCCTTTCCAGGCTTGCCTTTCCCAGGATGAGGCACCCACCCTGGATGCAGCAGGTGGGCTGATCTCAGCCAGCAAAGTGCCTTTTCCCTGGGACAGGATGAGAATCCATCATTCCTGGACAAGTCCTACTTGGAGCTCATCAGAGCCTGAATCAGGCTGATCTTTTGTAGCTGCTGGGCAGGTGTCACACAGACTTGGGAGGCTTCCCAAAGAGTGGTCCACACAAGCCTGGACCCATCTCCACTTCCATGAGGCCAATCCAGAGCTGGCATGCTCAGGAATCCTGCCCTTGCACCAGGGGCTGAACCTCCTGGCTGGCAGGATGGGCTCCCCAAACTGGGCAGCAGGAGCCAACCAGCCCCTGGGGTCCAGCGTTTTCCCGGTATCCCTGATGGAGCTGCCCAGGGAGGATGTGCTCAGCTGCAGCAGCGCTGTGCCGAGTGATGAAATGCCGGGTGACACGGGAACAGGACGGGATCTCGGTTAAAAACGGGAAGGAGCCAAGCGTGGTGGGGCAGGTCCTGCTCAGGGCAGGTTTGGTGGCCAGGAGATGGCGCGTGTGAATCGCTAAATTCCCGTGGCTGGGAATGTCCCTGCCTTCGGTTCTCCGTGCAGAGAGCTGGAGCGGGGCGGGTTTCTGAGCAAAGCTTTATGAATTTGTGCCGTTCTTTCAGGGTTTTCAGCTCCCAGAAGCCTTGCAGGAGGGTCCCTCCCTGCTGGCAGAGCCGCTCCAGCCTGGGCTGCCAGGAGGCTGTTGGGCCAAGGAGGTGATGGGAACAGTCACCTCCAGTTCTGAGAGAAAAACCTGATTTTTCAGAGAGCATTTCCACATTTCCAAGCAGGTGCAAAACAGCTCAGTGGGTATTTAGTCAGCAGGAGCATCTTTTCACATCTGCCAGGGACACGAAAGGAGCCCCCTTCCCTCTGTGCCCCAGTAGTTCACCCTGGAACTGCGTCACTCTGGACAGTCATTCAGTGGTGGCAGGGGGTGCCAGAGGGGGGTGCATCACCCACAGGATCCCCACTTCTGTTTTTTCATGCTCCCGAGGGAATGAGGTGCCAGCTCCTGCCAGGTGTTCCAGGAGTGAGCCCGCAGCACACAAACACTGCACCAAGGGTTGCCAGGGTGCTTGAAAGAGATGATTCAGCTTGTCCCCAGAGGGTAATTTCCTGCCTCCCTTCCCTCCTTGCTGCTGGCAGTTCCAGGAACAGTCCCTGTGCCCGCAGAGCAACACGCCAGCCCGTGGGGATGTGGCAGGGGATGTGTGTCACAGTGACAAAGGCCACGGGCAGGGAGCTGGGACCTGCTGCCTGTTGCATGCTCCTCAGAGGCTTTCTGTGCTGCTTGGAGAGAGGCTGTGTGTCCCCCATCGTGGGGACACGGTGCTGCCTGTCCCAGGGCATCTGGCCACAAGTGAGGAAGCCCCCTGCAAGCTGCCACAGACACCAGACCTGTCCCCAGAGCTGCCTCTGCTCCTGTGCCCCCCTGAAATAACCTGGCTCTGCCAAACCTGCCACTTGGCCTGGTCTGATCTTTCCATAGTCTTTTGTGAGGACTAAAAAATCTGGAGCTGGAACAGTCTTGGCTTTGCTGGTGTGGAATCTGCTTCCAGAGTGGTTTTGCTGTCAGACTGCAGCTGGGCTGGCTGGCATTTCCCAGGGAAGTCACCCAGCAGCTGAGAGAGCAGCTGGCTCTGCTCTGGGGGAGCTGCAGCTAAACCAGCCCCTGCACACGGGGCCAAGTTTCACCCCTTTAGAAGGTGGATGCTAATAAATTAGAGGGTTCAGTTTAAGAAGCACAAGGAAGGTGTTTCTTTTGGGTCAGCTCAGTGCTCATCTCAGTCGCCCTGACAACCCAGCAGTTAAGGTGGATGCTAATAAATTAGAGGGTTCAGTGTAAGAAGCACAAGGAGGGTGTTTCTTTTGGGTCAGCTCAGTGCTCTTCTCAGTCACCCTGACAACCCAGCAGTCAATTCCCATTTCCTCTCCTTGCCTGTTTCTCCACAGTGCAGATCCCAGGGCCCACTGCAAATAATACAAGTGGCAGACAAATGACCTGGAAACCCCATGGGCAGGTTAAACCCAACACAGGGTCATGTACCTGCAGAGCAAACCCAAGCCCTGCAACCCAGCCAGCAGCCAGGGTCTGCCTGTGAGGGATGGGATGGATGTGACAGTCACACCCAGCCCTGGACTCCAGTTTCAAGGAAACACTACACATGATACTGCATCTGTCTCTTGTCTAGGTTAAGCTGTAAGCTTTTTATGGCTAGGAAGGGCTATTTTTGGACTCAGCACTGATGCTGGCTCTCAGCAGGCTGTGCCAAACTCAGCCAGCTTCCCCTCCACTGCCTGCTCAGCTCCTTTCTGCTCTGCTTCTCCTACCTCTTGCCTTCCTCAGTGCCTTCCTCACCACCTAACCCTCCTTCGCAGCAAGTGCAAAGGGTGTTGGGTTAAAGAAGGTCCTGTTGGTCCCTGTGTGGTGGCCAAGACACTTCTGGGCATAAGGCAGCTCAGTCCCCTGCTTAGACATCCTCACCCCTTAGGGCAGCCAGCACGGCTTAAACACAGCACTGGATTTCCCTGCTTAACTGAGCTGGAACCATCTCCCAATCCTCTTTCCTCCAGATACCTCCTTGTTCCCTGGGTGAGCAGGAGCAGTCGCTCAGCCTGCATTGCTGTCCCCTGGGTCACCCAGGGAGGGGAGCCTGGCACCTCGGCCACCCCTGCAGCCTCCACAGGCAGCCCGAGGGCAGGGACGGGGACACAGGTCTTGGGACTGGTACCTGGGGGTGCTGCTGCCCAGCCCCACACCAGCCTGTTGCCAGTGGCCTTTGGGACCAACAGCTGTGGGTGCTGGTTGGAGATGGCTCCCTGGTCCCACAGCCTGACATGTTCTCCTGCCTGCTTGGTGTCACACCAGAGAGTCTCTTGCTCTTTTTTGGCCCCCAGACTTCTGAAATCATAAAGCCAGGAAGCCAAGCTGAACCTTCCTGTGTTTCTGGGGTGAAATTTCAAAGGTCTGCCAGGGAACAGGGATGCAGGCATCTCCTGTTCAGGCATCACATCCTTTCACTGCCAACCTGCAGGAACCAGGGCATGAAGTTGTACAGTGGCCTTGGAGCTCTCCCCATCGTGCAGTGCCCCTTGCCCTTTCCTCCCAGGGTACAGGGACTATTATTAGAACCCTCCTGCTGGGGCTGGATCCATAACAACAGCAAAACACACTCAGTGGCCCTGCTGGGCTTTTAAAATA